GAGAAAAAACAGTGTCTAATCATTTGTAATTGGAAAACATACCATTAGTAAACGAGTGATGTTCTATATGACTGAATACATAAACATCATAAAGCATTCAGTGAGAAGCATTCGTCTTATTTGTCCCATTATCCAGTTCATTGTCCGTTTTACGTCAATAGAAACATTCTATTCATCTACTAAACTAATTAGTGTAGGTCATATTGATCAGTTGAGATGCTGTTTAGAAGCTGCTAAACAAAACAAAAACACAAGTGAAATTATTGTTTTATATGAACCAGAACGTTTCCACTGTGGTATTGTAGTATAAAGTCAGAACATGCTTTTAGGCACTGCATTTTCAGATACCATTTACAAACTTTCCAAGAACGTTCCTGAGAAGATAGACATATAGTTAGTTTTTGTTGTTGTTGGCTTTTTCTCAGTTTTATTTAGCTTATAGTAAAATATAAGATTGCCAGCTATTGTTAAGAGGTTACATCGAAGAAATGTGTTAAACTGTAAGTACTAAAATTCGGTTTTGTTTGTTTTTCTAAGAGCGAACAGTCTTTTAACTTTTGTTAAAAACTAATATTTCCTTAACTGGCTCTGCATTGCACTTTAAACTTCTTTTTTTCTTTCATTTTGTTTTATTTGTTTGTTTCTTTGAAGTTAAGCACAAAGCTACACAATGGGCTATCTGTGCTCTGCCTACAACAAATATCGAAACCCAATTTCTAGCGTTGTAAGTCCGCAGACATACTGCTGTGCCACTTGGGGAATTTTGTTCTATGTAAACGTACAATATCCATAACTAAGACAAAATTCTAAGACTAAGAGCTTTATTTAACTCTCTCATATGTATTTTTATGTTTTTACTATTAATCTAAAAAGAAAAACAAGGATCAGGGGAAGAAATGCAAAAAACCAGTGATATAAAATTATTAAAACTGTAAACATTGTCTTATAGTCAATCGTATTATTTGGTTATGTTTTATTTAATACTTAAGCCACACTGGTGACAATAGGGAGTCCAGTGCTGTTAGTTCTGTTACTTGTATTATGTACAGAAACTAGAACGAATTACGTCTGCCTTTATGTAAACAAAACAAACGATTACTCAAAGAGAAAATGTTTTTAGCAAAGGTTCAAATTTACAAAATTCCATTACCAGGAAAGAAGGTCAAAAGTTCAAGGTTGACTACTTGCGTTGAAATGAAGATACTTTGTGAACCTACGTCGTGAACGATAACCTTTAGCCAACTGCCCTTAGGTGTTTTTACTTGGTAAAGCATAAGATGTTTCAACACTGTTAAAAAGAGAGAGAATATTCATTTTACTGTTTTACTGTTGTTACAAATTACATTTTTTTAATATAGCCTACAGTAATAACACAACTTCCGCGTGTTTGTTTTTCACTCCCTTCTCTCACGTGACTTGAAGCACCTAAAGCGTTAGCATGTTGTGGCCGGAAAATCTCGGGGTCGGTTGTAAGTCCTCACTGTGCTCATAAAGAATACATATATATATTTATACACACACATGCACATAGTTTCTTTAAATTATAGTGTACAAACATGAATTAAATCAAACACCAGTAAAGAATTATAACATAAGTTTTATCAAAACCTTAAAGCCACTTTTTAACTCCGTTTTGAAACCGGAAATTCTTGTTTTGTTACAATGATCCAGAACTTGCAGTGGTTGATTTCTACTTAGCATTGATGATCGTTTTCAGATTGTTATAATAAAGCGCATTTAAATTTGTGTGTAGGGGAAGAAAAATAAAATGAAATTACACGATTCTAATCGGAAAAACTAAAGAAACTTGACTGGGATTTTAAATACATGTATTTTTCTCTCGGTGGAGCCCGGCATGGCCAGGTGGTTAGGGCGCTCGACTCGCAATCTGAGGTTCGCGGGTTCGAATCCCCGTCGCACCAAACATGCTCGCCCCTTTCAGCCGTGGGGGCGTTATAATGTGACGGTCAATCCCACTATTCGTTGGTAAAAGAGTAGCCCGAGAGTTGGCGGTGGGTGGTGATGACTAGCTGCCTTTTCTCTAGTCTTACACTGTTAAATTAGGGTCGGCTAGCACAGATAGCCCTCGTATAGCTTTGCGCTAAACCTTAACTTGAGAAAAGAAATTCTTTCTGTACTTTCCATGTTTTATGTTCCAAACATAAACATCTTTTGAGTTACTTTACAATAAGGACGCAAATTCGTTTACATGTATAACTTTATATCTAGATTTAGTAAAATCCGTGTACATTGATTGCTTGTTTTTTATCCTCGACAGATATCAAAGGAAGAAGACTAGATCATCACCTACTCAGCACACAAGATCTAACTCACTTAAAATCTAAAGTTCTAACTCTACAATGTTGACGAAAGGTTACATGGTTACCGTATTCTATGCAATGGCTACATTGTTGTTAATATACCGAGTTGCCGCTAGAGGACGGTCTTCTCCTCACTATTCTTATCCCAACACGTCCATGGGCGAAAACAATGCGGACAACAACAGTCGAAAAGCCAGGTGTAAGTTTGACTTAACCTATTATTTAGTGTTCTGAAAAAAAGACAACAAGAAAAAGAAAACAAGACAAATTTATGTCTCTTATTTGCTCTTATTAAAACTGAAGTTATGATTATGATCATTAACGATCTTTTAATGCTCAAACGTAAGTTAAGCACATAGATCAGTACTGAATAAAAAACGCGTAAGCTTATGAAGTCAAATCTGTATAATGCACTGAGTAGAAGTACTCAGTGTACTAAATCAACATACAAGACAACTAGAAAAAAAAACCAGAATAATAACACTGCAGCAAAGTCAATTTATATTTCATGACGTTCGGCAAGCTTAATATATTTCAGTCAATCAGAATACGTATGTTAAGCTAACAATGTAATATAATCCTTATAATTTTAACAAGTAATGAAAATATATAATAATTAATGGTTATAATTAATGGTATTAATTAGATTAACTTATTAACTTATTTTAATTCAACGAAATCTTATCTTAAGTCCAAAACATGTTCTGATGTAAATATGAACGAATTCTCTCGCACATTTACGCATTTAAAAATTTTAATCGCTATTGAATTTGCATTCTAGAAGTCAAAGCTCTAGCATTAATCTGTACTAAGAAATACTTACAAAAGTTAGTTTACGCAATACAGAATTTTTTTAACCTTAGCATTATTGCATTTTGCTTGTTTGTTTGTTTTCGGATATTTGCGCAAAGCTACTCAAGGGCTATCTGCAAAAGTCTTCTCCTACTTTTAAACTGATAAATAAGAAAGAAGGTAGCTGGTCAACAGAATCCAATGCCAAATGTTGGACTATTCTTATCTGATTCAATTGTAAGATTTGACCGTTATCCTTATAAAACACCCACAGCTCCAAGGTGCCAAATGCGATTTTTTTTCAACATCACTGTAAGATCCTCACGCTAAAAACTTTCTTGATACTGTTATGATTTTCGTTGAAAGATCTCTTTCAAACACACACCTAAGCACTATTTGTATACTCATTGGTTTTTGACAAAATAATACTGAAACATTTGTATACTGTATTAATTATGTTTTCATAAAATGTTGCATACTGAGCCAAAAGTGTTCGAAACATACACATTAATTTTGTATTTGTTTAGAATTTTCTTGCGAAATTACTGAACGTCCCTCTGCGCATAGCCCACTTTAACTGAACTGCTACAGACTAGAGGAAAATCAGTTAGTTAACAACATCCAACGCTAACTCTTGTGTTACTGTTATCTGAACAAATACAGTGATTTGACTGTAGCCCTTATAAAGAATACACAAGCACAAAATGCGGAGCGCATTTTTGCGCAAACATAAAAATCTTGGATTAACAGTCAGGCCCCGTGAACTATTAACCCACGCTTGACCCACAGCTCATTAAACACTCTTAACACGTTCGCTACCATGTGCCTCACCGCTGGGTCACAACCGACTTTTAGTTATGGACCGACGTGACACACAAGTGGGTCACATATTACAAGTGGCTTCAATGAGCTAATTAAACATAGTATAGTTACCCATATAAATATTATACACATTTATTAAGTAAAAAAAGAAAAGTGTGGTTGGCACCAGGGTAGGAATTATTAATACCACAGCGAACATGTTAAAAGGTTTTGCAGTAAGTAATAAAATCTGGCTTGCTTCTATAATTTGGAGCACTATGACTCAGTGAATAGCATAAACATCGCTGTTCCGTATTACAATATACTTCTATAAAATGAAAAAAAAAAGGTGCTAAGCCTAACTGCAAAGCATTGATAGCTTCAACAACATATTTGCTAATAAGTAAGAGGAAAGGTGTGTGTGTTTAAAAAAAATTAATTCCAAACTTTGTCCCACACATGAAGACATATAAAACTCTTTTGATAACATTCTTGTTTGATTTAATTGGACTGATAACAGCTGATATATCTCTAAACTATAATTCACGTGTGATTACGCGGACTTGTTATTCAATTTCAATAAATATGTTTTATATATATATATCTAAACAACTGCGAGATTAACAAGACCTGTATCGTGAAAAGGGGGCGATCAGGAACAGATTTTTTCTATTTACACACTAACTCCAAAAATGTAGTCGAATACTCTCACTTGGGAAGTTCACTTAAATTATTGGGCCGAACTTGCAGTTATTCACAGGCATTTCTATCAGAGAAACTTGTCGGGAAGTCAGTTTGATATGAAAGTACCACATCTATATACACCAACAGATGGAATACAATACTGATTTACAAAAGGGTTACTTATCCACATACTTTATTTGTCTTCAAACCATTACATGAAAATTGAGAACCTTGGATGTGTCTCCGTTTCGTGGAAATTTGACACTTTAAATAAAAGGAAAAAAATCTTTATTTATTACAACCTCAAAACGAAGAAAACTGAGCATGAACCCACTTGCCACAATAGACAGTCCTCACTCCGAGTCTTGCACCCGTTAGTCTTAAAGTCTTCCTTCTTGCAAGATGGATTACCTCAACATTGAACGAACTTCAAAAAGTATCTCTGCATGCAAAACTGGAGCAAAGAAAGTGCCTTGATTTCAAACATTAGCTTTGTCCAGCGGGGATCGTCTCCTCGTAAACTCTGTTCTCTGTGAGCAAGTGTCACCTATCAAGTTCAGTTGATGTCATACTTCTGTCAGCAAAGGATATTCCAGTTCTAAGTAGTGTTGATCCAGGTTCAAAATACAATGAAATATTCTTGCGGACAGAAATGTCATCTAACAAAAGAGAAATGGCTTGTTTGGATAGAACAAGATAATATCAGACCTCTTGGACCATGTGTTGCCGCCATGACAGTGTGGAAACTAAATAATCAATATTAAAAAATATAGATGGTAAGGGACATGATATGCATGCATGCTACAGAGAAAGAAACAAAATATGTTTAAAAAGCTACAAAGACTTACAAAAGAAGCACACTTCATCTTACATATTTAAAACAATCAATGAACATCTGCTATACACAAATGGTTTTGAAAAGAAACTAACAGTTGTAAACTTGTACATATCAGCTATAATAAAAAGCAGATTAGTTCTTCTAAGAATGCTGTATTGTGTTTTACAGAAAGCCTAGGCACTAGAGCTAATATATATGGAATCGTTGTGGTAATTCAACTAATAATGCATTTGAAATTAATAGTAAAGTTAGATACGGAGATTTTTTTTGTCCCTAATCACTCCGCTGTTTTACGATATGTGAAATATTGTTAAAAACCTATATAGCTTAAGTTATTTTGTCATGAAAGAATATAATATATGTTTATACAAAATCCGTTCCACACTACTATGGAAAATTTAGCTTCGAGGCTGATTTCACAAATATGTGTGAACATTCTTTAAAAATATATGTTGGATTATATATTATTTTAATAATTAGAACATATTATTCCACTGCAGTAACTATGTATTTAATACAATGCGTCAAACATTTGAATAATATATACCAGCATGCTTTCTTAGTATTTTAGCTCTTCAAACTGTGGTTTAGTAAGACAAGAACATCAAAGGCTTGATACACTGTAACATTACTATTATCTACTTCTCTAAAGCTTAAAGAAAAATATAGCAACATTTTAAAAATCAATCGGAATGTTCAACCACGAAAAGTGATTTTACGCAGAAAGAAACTGTTTCTAAAGATTCTTGCCCCCCAGTAGCACAGCGGTATATCTGTGGACTTACAACTCTAGAATCCGTGTTTCGATACCCGTGGCGGGCAGAGCACAGATAGCCCATTGTGTAGCTTTGTGCTTAACTTCAAAGAAATAAAGATTCTAAAGATAAAATAAAACAACAGATCTGTGTTTTTAAATCTTTTACACGAACATGAAACAAGTACGACTGATTTCGATCTTAACTCCTGTATGAAATCATGTTGTGTGTTTGTGAATTTGTTTTTTGGCAAACTCGTCTCACAGTCTAGGTAGGCAGAATTGGGGTGACTCGAGTGTGTCTTCATCTAATGGCGTAGCTAAAAACTGATAGGAAGGTTACTCAGGCATGATGGGGGTCTAGGAGTAGGTTTTCAGGATCCCTGAAACCGAATACAATAACGGATTTTGTGTTCGTTGCCCCCACACCCCTCGGAATGCCGTGGACGCCATGTTTGAAGCTGTGTTCACACTCCCTCTCACAAGGGCTGTTACATATCATTCCCAAGAGCGATTGATTTTCATTGACAATCACACTAACTATGTGATAATGTAGTTCTGATAAATGCTGTGGTTGTTACGTTACTTGCTGATTTGCATACTGAAACTCGTTTTAATATAACGTAATCAACCCTCTATGTATCTTAAAATGTATCACACCAGAATGTACTTATTAAGGCTGAATAGAAAAATGAATCTAGTATGAATGAAATGTGTCTTAAATTTACCATCCCAGAATGAACCTAGTGAGACAAGATAAGAAACTAACTTAGTAGGATCAAACTATATGGTAAATTATATCACAAGAGATCGAACATAGGTTAAACTGAAACTACCTCTGGTATTGTATAATCTTAGGATGAGCCTAGTGCGCAGACTAGTTTGATGTCATGTTTTTCAGTGGTGATGAACATCCTGATTCTCTGACTCGCGCAACAATGACCAACCCTGAGTGTAGATCGATGTGCAAAATCAACTTAACATAATACATATATATTTACTTAGTTCAAAAAAATACCACCAATTCTTGACACTGGCGAGTGTAATGACAAAATAATGAGACTAAAATTATCTGTATAGGTCATTGCTGAAGCAGATTAAAACTATAGTTTTCAGTAGATATTTTAAGAAGAATAAAGTTCTTAGTTGGTTTCGCAAAAGTAACAAATTCATTAATAATTCATTTTCTAGGCCAACTGAAAAAATATAGTTATTCCTAAATAGTTTGAGTCTTTGACAAACAACACTTTATGAGAGTATCCAGTATGTTTGTGAAGTAAACCTTGAGTTCTTAATTTCTAATAGGCAGAATCCTAAACTACGGGTAAAAATTTAGTACAAGACTTTTTTTGAGATACTACATTCTGATAGTATTTATTATAACTTGTTAAGTATTCATAAAAATTTTAAATCCAAGACATATGAATCACATGTTTATTTGTATCAGTAATTTCCAAATAACAGTTGAATCTCATTTAAGAAAACTCTTTCTATATTCTTTAGGTCTGGAATAAATTGAAAGATTAATACATTTATCAAATGAGAACAAAACCCAGTTTTTAATCGGAGAGTGCCAACATAAGTGTCACATATAAATCTAGTTTCTTAGAAGTGTTTCTTTCTCCTCACAGTTTTTAGCATTTTCACTTTGGCTATCTTCGAAAACGATGCCTGCAACACAAGTAGCGTAAACCGAACAGGAATATGTTTTTCTGCTAGAGAATGTGTATCGCGAGGAGGTCGTGCTGAGGGAACGTGTGCTGGAGGATATGGTGTCTGTTGCCTGTGTAAGTATATCACAAATATATGAACTTCAGAGACTTTGTGCTGAAGTAATGGTGTATGTTACCTGCGTTAGTGTACATATATATAAAGAGGTCAGGGTTGAGACAATGTATGCTAGGGACTATTTTGTCTCTTTCCTTTGTATGTTACAAATAAGTCAAACTCGACGACTTATGCAAATAAACCTTACATATGATTACAGTCATAGAATATTAAAGAATGCTAGAATGAAATATTCTTCGCAATTAACTGAATTTACATGAAGTCGTGTGGTTAAATTATGGGAGAGCGGTCATACTCAGGTCACTTGCAGCATGACTCAAAAATAATCATTAAAGAACAATAATGGTTGATAACGTAACTAAAAGATGAAGTAAAAAACAATTTCACGGGATAAATCATGAAATTTGCATACTGGAGACTGTATAAACTAGCATCAAATATGCCAGGATTAATTTTGCTTTTAGAAATGATCTTAACAGATCATCTCTAACGTAAGAATTCCTGCCATATAGTATTACTACAGCAACCTTAATACATTGTGGAAGCATCAAGACTCTTTTGGCGTAAGAGCAGCGAATGAAGAGGAGTATGTAGCAATGAGACTCACCTAATAAACAAGATTGTTTTCTGATGGAAGTCATAATGATTTTTCAACAACGTCCTTTCAGGTTGTGATCACAGGAAATGCAGCACCAATCAAATTTCCAGTCATTCCAGACTCTCACAGTTAACAGTCTGGAACCTCAGGCACAAGACATTGACGATGTACCCTTACAGAATAGAGATCACCCATGAAGTGCTGAACTTTGCATTTCAATTTATGGTTCAATGGGTTATTGTTGTAAAGCATAAAATTACACAATGGGCTACCTGTGCTGTGCCCACCACGAGTACCAAAACCCAATTTTTAACAGTGTGAGCTGTCAGACTTAATGCTGAGCCACTGGGGATAGCTTGAGTTGAAATCATCAACAGTATAGACAACATCGCTTGAATTACTGAGGCTCACTTTTTCCATGGCCAGGTCAACACTTGCAATGGTGTCATTTGGGAAAAAGCAATCCACATGATGATAAGGTTACAATGTGGGTTGGATTCACAAGTAAATTGGTCATCGAGTGTCATTTCTTTGAGAAACTTGCAAATAATGAATTTTGCACAGTGGTCATAAGCAGATAATGATATTTGCCCATGTTGGTATATGTTGTTATTTTTAAACTTCAGGGAAAAGATGTTTTGAATAAAAATATTCTCATCAATGATGATGTTCCACCCCAACATCACAAAAACTGTCACTACAGTACTGTGGAATGCTTTCAGGTGATGTGTAATCAACAGACACTTTGCATACGCATTACAAGCATAGTCTCTAGACATTACATTAGCCATGCTTATGGGACCTAAAATGTAGCATATGATGATAAGACAGTTGCTGGCAATCAAAAAATATCATAAACTCTCTCTGCCCGGGCATCACTTACTGCGCATGTCACGAGATTTTAGTGGCTTATATTCAAAATTCTTTTAAACTACTTTTTGTTTATGTTATACCAATTAGTATAGCATAAAATCGTAGGTAATAATCCATATTTTAATAGTATATAAGTTTTAACTTCTTAATTTTATAAGGCAATATTTCAAAAAATCCTGAATTTCATCTAGTGTGAGAAACGTGATACATTTTCTGTAGGCATCCCATCTTCTCTGTTTTATTCACCACCATTCCAATAAGTATGAAATTAACGTAAATTACTCATTATAAGATCGTCATTGCTCAGACAAACCATAATTTTTATAGCTTTCAATTTGTTCGGTTACAGATCCATCAACTAGAAAATCAGACCCCTTTTGCCACCTCCCACCTGCTCACATCCTCTCTTTCAGGATTGGTTAATAGTTCTCTCTCGAGTTTAATTCTATATTAGCTATAACAAATAAAAAAAACAATAATTTAATCTGTCAAATGACGTATTATGTTACGTTGTATTATGAACGAAAAATTGTCAATTTCTCTTTTAGTAGAAGATGAATTTTTAATTGCTCTTGTCGCACAGTTAGAAAGCCAGAAAAATTGTGGTAGTTATAGGAAATTGTCTGCTTTTTGTATGTTATTATTCTATGTTTTTTGGTGCATTATTTAATTAAATAAAAATTGTTTAGTGCATTACTACTATTAGTATTAAAAGTAGGGTTAAGTGTCATCGACAGTCGATAGCAAAACAGAAAGAAGACGGGGTAAGTACTTTATTTCTTGTTTTTCATGTTTATTCTTTATTTATTATTATAAAAGTAACTAAAATGTAAAAATAGGGATCTCTTTAGGTTAGTTAAGGTTAGATTAGGTAAAATAAATGATAATAATAGCATAATAAAAATGTTTCACGAGGCACACTCGGGAACACACACAAACACACGCAAGCAGCTAGTGGCTAACGTAATTGGACAGAGTAAGGTGAGCTGCACGTTCCACAAGTGATTTACAATTTATAATGGTGCCAATAGTAGTTAGCCATGGTTCGAAAGGCAATAAAGCAATAACATTTAATTACAATTATATGTATACTGTATACGAGTTTAAAGCTACTTAGGATAAATAAATGTAGTTTCATGTTACAATTTGAAGAGATTCTAGAAAGAAAAAAGAGGGTAATTTAGATTTATTTCGATTTTCTAAAGTCCGTCAAAATGACCAACGTTGTATATAGTTAGGGTAAAGAAAATAACACATAAAATACAAAGTTTTACTGAAAACAAACATTTGAAAAGTGTGTAGAAGGTTTTAAAGATTACACAAATGAAATTTGAGATTTTTGAGATGAAGAAAATTATTTTTAATCTTAACATGAAAATCAGTTTACAGACCAACTATTCAAAACAAATAGTGTTGAAATATTCGACATACTCACGGTCACATCTTTTTTTCTTTTTAGTTTATTAAAAATACTTCACTAAAAATATGATTTTTTGTATGGGAAAGACTTATAATGTTTACTGAAAGGCTGCCAATTTTCGTTTATTATTATTATTACTAAACGTTAGAAGTATAAAATCTATAAAGACTTTAAACGAAAACAAAGAGGTCACGTGGTCGGTCAACTCAACCGAGCCTGTATTGCCATTTGTTTGTTTCACATGAATGCAAGCTATAGTGAAAAATAATGGTAATCACATGAAACACATAAATATACCATAAGAAGATTAGACTGAAAGAATATGCTTTGTAAAATACATTTTGAATGAATTGTTATAGATGTCATTCCATCTTATTCAACAATAGGGGTGAAGTTACACTGACTTAGTAAAGTTGTGTCCTACCTACTGATGTTGAAATTACAGAAGTCCATAAGTGGTTATCATGCCGAACTGTGGTTAATGCCGTGGGTGCGTTCATAAAAGTGACGGTCAAAATCCATTAGTTGGTCTGACAAGAGTAGCCTAAGAAATGGTGATGGGCGGTGTTGACTAGCTGCCTAGTGTATCACTTCAAAATTTGAAACAGATGGCACAGATAGCCCATGTGTAACTTTGCTCGAATTTGAATAAATAAACAAAACCGATAAATGTTTGAGCCTATTACGGTAAGGTCCAAAGTGTGAATGTACCACAGCTCTAAATGTCTAGAATTAAAAGAAAATAACAACGATTCTATCCCATTCTCATGTTATATTAGAGATGTGTGTATACCTTTCCCTAACAAGAAATTGTTCAAGAACCGGTATGATCCTTTCTATTCGTTAACATGAATAACACACACAAACCTCATCTATTTTTCATAATTGTAACTTCTTTTCCGCGTGTTATTTATACATTTTCACGTGTAACTACTGTATGAGTAATCTCTTTATGTTTCTAATGGTTTCAGATTAGCCCTGAAGTATCACATACATGTTCATTAGAATAAATCAACAGTTAAAAATTGTGTGCTAAATGACAACTGCTTCTGTGTTTACCTAATATGATGTTATTGTTTACTTACAGTTGAAATATCATGTGACAGTAATAGCTTAAACAACGGCACCTACTTTCAGAACCCCAACTTTCCTAGCACCTACACCGAAACCAGAACATGTATTGCGTCTTTTCGAAAAATACATTCTAACGTTTGCCAATTTCGACTGGACTTTTTGTCTTTCGACATTGGAAACCCCACATTTGGTGTGTGTAATGAAGATAGATTGGTTATCAGTGGTCAAAGCCAAAATAGCATTGTTCCTCCTCTGTGTGGGTTTAATACTGGACAACATCGTAAGTTCTGTTATTACTATTACATAAGATAATTCATGAAAATATTTAAAAATCCACTTTTAAAAGTTTTAATTACTATCTCAAATGCCCTATTATTTTATATACTAATTTGTTTTTCCTGTCCTATATTCAAGTCATATAGCTTCTTTTATGAATACAGGTTTTTGCAAACATTGCTATTGTTATATTCCTTGTGTCAGGCATTTAGGAACAAAATCAAGCATGCTAAAAAAACTTTCTCTTCACCCTGTTATGATATGAGAATTCAATAAAGGATTTAAGTACAACCTTAATTGTACATCTAGTATAGAACTTTTGGAAAGGGCCACATTCAGAGCTCTTGGATTACTGAAAAGGCCAGCATAAACCATTAAACTTGAGCAAATATAAGAAAGTAATATATTCCATATCTGTTGTTGATAATAATTATAATAGATATAGAAGACTTATAACTTTTTTACGTCTTCACTAGTTGTAGTGGGAGATTGGTACTTTTGAAAGAGGGTGGCTGTAGAGTTCCAATGGTTTAAGAATTGGGAGTAAGTCATAAAGTATATTTTCATTAACATCATCGGCTTTTAACCTGCAAGTAAGAACTTAAAGTGCAGGTTCAAAAGGAAAAATAACCCTGTGTTATTCGATTTGAGTGGTTGTATCGCAGATTTTGGTTGAGTTCTTGAAAGAATGTGAAGTGGCAGTCATGTGTTATATGTTATATCAAACTGTTGGGTCATGGATGTAGAACAGTGTTGTTGTCATCTTGGGTAGAATAATGATCCACACTTTAATAATTTGCTTCTAACAATTAACTTCTAGCACCTTGATTGGCACGAGAAATTATATATGACAACTTCGGGATACAGGGTGGGGAAAAGTTGCTAAATGTAGCCATTCGCAAGGTTGAGATGAGATAAAAGAATCTGAGCAACATATTGGCATAAATTAATTTTTTTCAACTTTTATTTTAAGTTTTATCTCAAGAGAGCACCAAAATACTCAAAATTCAATCAGGATTTCGTTATCCGTTATATCCAAAGCAATGTATTGTTTGTGACTAGAACAAAAACATTAATTGTTATCTTTGGTACATAATATCCTAAGCAATATCTTAGTATTTAATAAAGTAAATCAAACACCAAATGATATTTTCTTAATTTAAAAATGACGTTAAATTGAACATTGTTACACTATTTAAAAACAACAACAAAAATTAAGCTATTAATTGGTAGATACTGAATCGATATTTTGTTATCACCTTAAGAACTTCAAGTGTCATTGTATCTGTGTCATATATTTTGGTTCAGTTTACTTGGAGGTTTCTGGGACAGAAGGACCAATTCAACTCAACGTCATTTCTCAAGGAAGTCGAGCTCGAAGTTTCGACATCAGGGTGACTCAAATTAACTGCGACAGTCGAAACCTTGGTGACTATTAAACCTATTTGCATTACAATTATTAAAACGAATCATCATCATAGATTTAAATACAATTAGTTAATGAATCACTTCCCAGAGAAACATTATTGGCATATCTGAAAACCTTATATATACAAGGGTTATAGTTTATATTTAAGTTTATATCAGCTTTAGTTTACTTAGTGTAATTTCTTCACGCTATACTAGGCAGGCATTTTCTGACTTCTAACCAATGAAGGTACGATATGTCTCATTGTAAAACCTGATAACATACTCCTTCTTGACTTACAATAATTTTGTCGTATTGTCTATTTATATTTGATTATTTGTGCTTGTACTCAGGAGTTACATTTAAGCTGAACGGTACAGAACGCCGCTTCTTGAGGATTCAACACATTAGCGTTCCTGGTTTTTTTTGTTTGGGAGAAAAAAGTGCCCTGTTGTTCCATGCTGTGATCCGCGCTGCTCTTACAAAGTGGATCATAAAAGGGAGTTCCACCTCTTTCAAAATCACAATATAACCACTGCTTTTATGCTTGTACTTTTATTTGTATGAAAGTAACCGAGACCCAATTTTTTAACGATTTACATATTGAAGAATATTTGACCAGAAGTTTTATATTAGCAATTACTACTTTTACTCTTGATTAAAATACCTTTTAAAATTTCACTGACGTCTTATTCTCAAAAGCACACTCCTAGAGAGCACTTTATAGGTGCGACGGACAAATATGTTTGGTATTTTCAACCTGAATGGCTTTTTGTGAAATACATGAGCTAGAAGCTCAGATAAATGATCTCAAGGTTAAGTCATAGTCGTCTTTAATTTACAGCTGCTGACCAGAGGGAGGACAACCAGTAAGCAGCACCCGCAGCTTATACAGTAATTTTTATAACGCGCTCACATCTGAAAGTGTGGAGTGTGTTCAGCGGCATACTGCGGGTGTGAATCTTGGACCTTCTGATCCTGAGGCCGGTACAATAACCACTAAACAAGCAAAATAAAAATTTAGTATGAATAATTCATTTAGCGCATCTTTTACTGAACTCGGCTGGCTTCTGTATAGCATTAAAATAACGTATACGTTGAATAATATTTGTGTATACTTGAAATGTAATTGAAATCTATAAAGGACTAATTACATTAATTAAATTTTTCATCTAAAGCTGTTTCTAAAATACTTTGTATGTAGCTTTAAAATAATGAACGAACTTTAGAATTTATTTACAAGAAATCAATTGTAACTTATGTTCATGTTAGTTGATTGAGTATTGTGTTCTATTTGAATTATGATACAAAATTATATTGTAAAATATTATACAACAAACACATGTTTAATGTGCGGGTTGAAAATCATTAGGTTGCTTATAAAATGTTCCCCCAATGGGACCACAGTAAGTCAAGTCCGGGGTTCGATTCCCAGCGGTGGACACAACAGATAGCCCAATGTGGTTTTGCTCTCAAAACAGACAAACAAACAAACTTATAAACTGAAATACAAATTAAGTTTAAAAATAATTAAACATACTACGTTATTATTGTTGAGTATTATATAATAATGAATGAACAAGACAAGAGTTGAATGTCTGGAAAAGTGTAAGCAGGTATTCGCTATAATGTTGTTATTCGTTGTTATTGTTGAGTATTATATAATAATGAATAGACAAGACAAGAGTTGAATGTCTGGAAAAGTGTAAGCAGGTATTCGCTATACCTGCAAGGCATGTATGCATATGTTCACAAGTCAGCCTCACACACACATATTCCTCTTCTCTACATAAAAACATGATTTTTAAAGCTCATTTATAACTGAACATGATAATAAGACTTGTAAAAAATTATACTGCTATAATTTTGTGCTAGCACTCAGTACCATCTTTAAAATAATTTACTGTTACTGCGTATGCCGCCTGAAATTCACCTCTACCCAAGGTTAATTTTGAGTCATTATAATTCCGGTCTACTAGGAAATTGTATATATTCATAGTTGCTTTTATAATAATGTGGATCCAAGATAAGACTGAATATAAATCGTATAACTTTGAAATAATCTACTGCCATCGTAACTCTAATAAGGTTTGGTTTCTTAAGAATTTCGCGCAAAGCCACTCGAGGGCTATCTGCGATAGCCGTCCCTAATATAGCAGTGAAAGACTAGAGGGAAGGCAGCTAGTCATCACCACCTACCGTCAAATCTTGGGCTACTCTTTTACCAACGAATAGTGGGATTGACCGTCACATTATAACGCCCCCACGGCTGAAAGGGTGAGCATGTTTGTTGGGACGGGGATTCGAACTCACGACCCGCAGATTGCGAGTCGAGAGTCGTAACCACCTGGCCATGCCAGGCCCCCAACTTTAATAAGAAACTAAACCCTGATGCAGTATGCCACCAATTATCACCATTTTGTTTATGTCACCTTTTGGGTTAAAAGGTTTCCCTATATGCATCCACTATTTCCTTTAAGTATATATCTTTCCTGTGAATAATTAATGATTCAGTCATTAGCCACTTAAGTGCTTGATATAATTCCTGTGATATATAACGTAGTTAGATTAACCAATGGGAAACCGAGCTTGTATGAGGTTTAGAACCCACTAAACGTTACTGTTTGAAATTTTCAATACGTCGTAGGATGTTTTGTCGAAAATCTGTTTTTAGAATAGTCGGATAAAACATATAGTGAAATAAGCATATAAACAATGTTTTATCTTTTCATTTTACTCGTTGTTAAATAACTTAGTTAAATGTTTTAGTATTAACTGGTAGTACAACTATCTTTTTCTTTCAAGATAGAAATATATCAGCATAGTTGTGAGCGCTTTGGTAGCATATGCTTCACTTTTTTGTTTCTTGGACAGCACCTCCAAATTGTCTGCAGTACCACACGGGTATCCAAGGTCAGTTTCAAAGCTTCAACTACGTATCTGATGTTATGATTACTGACCAAGGCTACTTTAATAATCTTGACTACACCATCTGCTTTAGGAAAGAAGTGGGCTTTTGTACTATGACGTATTTCCTTCCTGAATTTATGCAAGCACCAAACCAACAACAACAAACTCAAGCATCTCCTTTCTTTGCCATTGAAATGAGTGCTGGTGGTGCTGGTCAACAGTTGACAACTGCTGGGGCGGGAATGCAGGACTGTCCTACAGATTACATAATCCTGGCCAGTATTCGTCTCTGCGGAGGACGACTGAACGATAAACTGGTAAACAATATCCCAGCTAATTCAAATAAAGATATTGTTGGTGAGTAGCACTTTGCTCATGTGGAACTTAAAAGCTCGTATTTTAGTGGAACTCTTTAACATAATGAATAAAAGTTCGTAGTTAGAAAGTTTCGAAGGTGTTGTGATTAAAGATATATATCAAATAGCACTATGATATTATTAATTTAAACAAGAAAATTAAAATGCATTACACCAAAAATAATATTTTTCTGTAAATCCGGAGTATAGCGATGAATCTGTTCTGAAAAAGAAAACTTCACGTTAATGTTACAATCTGGTTTGATTCATTTGTTTATTTAGATAATCGTCTTGCTTCATTTTACTTACTTGGGGCCAAAGTTATGCACGAATAATCTCTTGGGAGATCTATAAATACAAGATTGAGCTACAATTGCATATAAAAGATTTATTACTGGCTTGATTAAAATGGATTGCGTAATGTTTAGCAACGCTTCTTTTTACAACTCATTAGTAGGTTGTTTGTGTATGACTAAGGTACAATATATATACTAAGACATGACCTGCATATTACTCTTTTTTGTACCTTAAGGATATAAAAGTGAATGTGGAGCTGCAAGTATATATGTATTATGTTTTATTCTATTGTACTCACTTTACTTAAGTCGCTTTCTTCAATAAAGGGATATCTATTACGTTTAGGAAATAGTGGTACAAAAGATTTAAAAGAAAATCCTTCTTGCCAGAATTTTACAAAGTTTTAGAAAAAATATATATATTACAATTGAGTATTACCTATTTCCATCATGTCTAGCTACCAGAAACCCCTGATTTCATCACTTCTGACTTAATGGTTGTGACATTTTCTAAAGATGAAGGTCTATATCCTTAATTCAATAACCATTCTTCAATTGAATGATGCCATTGCTACAGACTGTCCCAACTACCCGTACAAACTATATAACTATTCTGTACATGTAACGCTATATAACAGTTTAGTTTATGTAACAATATTTAATATGCATTACACTGTTAACAAAATAATACATGCTATAATGAATACAATATATGTACTGTAGGCTCAAAATCTAAAGTTCATCTAATTATTGTGGAGTAGGTTTACACATCTTTCACAGCATATAACACTTGTTATATAGCAGATGTAATGGTCGAATATGATATAACCCTAAAGTCGTGAATTTTATCGAACAAAAATTGCCATTTTTTTTTTTTTTTGGCAGCTTTGAACAAGAGAAAATATTCTAGACTAGTTTCTTATATAAAACTTTGCACAACTTTAAGGTTCGATCTCTTGCTTCAAGAAACGCAATGAGACCCAAAGTGTTGTTTTGGTTTTTATGAAAAGCCTTCCAAAAGCAAGGCTACTTCTGCTTATGGCCCTTCCATTCTATTAGCACTTTAAGAATGATTCAATACGTTAATGATATCTAGGACACTCTGCGAATTTAGTAGACACAACAAGAATGTTTGTTCTTTGGCTTTTGGTGATTGAGGTCTGATAAATCATATTTAATTTTGTCAATCGTTAAACGATTTAAGACAATGAAAGTGGTTACAATGGAAAGAACAAAATATCTTATTTTGAATGTTCCTTCTGTTTCGCAGTTTTCTTTCCTCTTTTAATTAGCTTTTAATATTTTTGGATGTCCTCTCTTTCTGATCGCTTTAATATCAACATGAACCCCATCGTGACTGCATCGACAACGTTTGCCTTTCATACAAACATCACACCTCCCAACCTTGCTTTTGTTTGTTTGTAGTTATGCACAAAGCTACACAAGGGCTACCTGTGCTCTGCCCACTACGGGTATCAAAACCCGGTTTCTAGCGTTGTAAGTCCGCAGACATACCGCTGTGCCACTGGGGAGCCCCAACATTGCACTTGTAACTAAGACTAGGATAAACGTGACATTTTAACATTCTCCCAGTATACACTGACTAGTTTAGTACTGAAAACAGGTCTTTTATAGTTAAATTACTTTGCTAACGGCAATGTACTTCACACAAAATCTTAGCACAAACCTATTTTCAGATTAAGATTTTTCTGCAAGAGATGAAATAATGAGCACAAAAGTTGTATTGCTCGAAAGCTTTAATCCTAAACTATCGTATAAAGGCAATTTTAGTAGGTTTTGTTAGATATCTTTATGACCAAAAAAAGTCATTAATTTATGTACAATCAACTCCTATTTTAGGGTTAAAATAGTCCTTACTGTTATAAAGACATTTCCACAAGCAACATTAAACATTAATTACGGAAAACAACGTCCACACATAAATGACGTGAAAAAACACTTAGTAAGTTTTTATAAACAAGTAAAGAATAATTCACTGCTAAAGAGTTAAAACGTTTTCTTTGGCAATGAATCGCCCCCCAGTGGCACAGCGGTATGTCTGCAGACTTACAACGCTAGAAACCGGGTTTCGATACCCATTTTGTAGCTATGTGCTTAACTTCAAACAAACAAGGAATCTTAAGAAGATTTCAAGGGCCTTTCTAACAACAACAACAAAAAAAAAAAGACTGAAAGATAATACATGTATATATGGGTAATAGAGTTACACTATCACAATAATTATGTTCACTAAATTAGTAGACCCCGTTTTCTTTAAGTTTTTTGAATAATATAAACAACTATTTCTTTTAGACAAAAAATTAAATAATATCTTATTTCCAACATTCTACAATAAACCATTTTCTTTCCTTCCTTAGACACAACGACCGGGCCATTTCTTGCAAGATTTGTAACCAATTTTGGTTCAAACAACCGTGGGTTTTTGATCAACTATCGTCAAAATCCCTGCGCTAACGGTCGCTGATAGTCTTGTACTTGTGTTGAACAATAAAGATAAATCGGTTATCAAAAATATGGTGCCTTATGATGAAGTCATTATAATTTTTAACTTTATTACATCTTATTCTTAGCAATTTTATCTTTATTGTGTATTGTTACAGCTTGATTTCTCCTTTTAAATGATATTGAATGTTGAGGATAATCCTTCCTAAGTTTTCACCAACATGAATATTAAGTGTTCACGATAATCCTTTTTAAGCTTGCACTAATATTAATAACCAGACAAAATTTATTATGTATCTAGTTCAAGTAGTGTTTTAACGAAATTCATAAGACAAGAAAACTACGCTGAACAGAGTTGCTGCAAATAACGTTACGTCGACCTTAGAGTCACAGTTACTGAAAGTGGATTAAATGAAATTTTTAGCTGTTTTCGGATTTTGTCGTTAATCCAGATTTATACGTATAATCATAATTCCTAGTTGAAGATAATTCCTTATTTTGTTTCGAACACGAACAATATTTTAAGTGTATACGGACTGTGACGTATTCTGAATAACTATGTAGATTTATATATGTACTCTCTTATTTATTGTGTAATTCTGTTCAAAAGTGTTAATACACAATCTTCCAATTTTTATTTCAGGTAACAGTAAAAGTCCTAGCTATTTTGAAAACGTCAGTTCTTGAAAGTGAATGTAAAAATAGATATCTTTATAAAGATATGGGATATCAAATTATTTTATTTGATCATTCGACTTCACTAAAACAAGAAAAATAAATGCTTCTTTCAAGTTCTACTTCGCTACAACAAGAACAAATGTTTCTAACTATCTGACACGTTACGATACATTATTATGTTATAGTGAAAGATTCAAGTACTCATTATGGTATTTATTTCGATAACTATCTCCTGGAAACTAATCAAGATCGAACGCTTCTTCTATGACTAAGACTTTTACATAAATGACTTAGAGTAATAAAACTGTTATTACTTGTTTGTTACTCATTGTTAGCAAAGCTTTGTGGAACCAAAGCATATAAAATAAACTAACTAAAGTGCATGCATTAAACGTTTCATTTAAAATTCACACAGCATAGAATATTTTGTTATTTTTTCTTCAGAAGTTGCATTGTTTGTAAAAATAAACAATAAATTCATCTTGTTGTCTGTCCACCTGTCCTTATCTGGTTTCCATGCAGAGTTGCGCACAGCTGATTGCATGTTCATTAGCTACAATGAGGTCTTCTGCTGTGCATGGGACCTGGAGTTGTGGACAGATAGATGTTGCGTGGTCTGCTTCTCACCACAGTCACAGACAACGGGTCTGCTTCTCACCACAGTCACAGGCAACGGGTCTGCTTCTCACCACAGGCACAGGCAGTGGGTCTGCTGGAATTCCATTTCACCATGTTGGCCCTAGACCTGCAGATCTGGTAACGTAAGTGATTGAGGGATTTCCTGGTGCTCCAGGTCTTTTCCGCTCCTCTGGAAAGATGCCCATGCTTGTGTGTGGATGCTATTGGAGGTCTCCATAGTTCCTCATGCGTGGTCTCTTTCATAGCGCCCAGTGGTTCATTTGAACCACAGAAACTATTCTGTGATATCAAGTGTTTCTTTATTTACACATGGCCGTATAGAGGATGTATAATGTATTGTGTCTGCTGGGTTCACTCTGCTTTGCTGGCGACTGCTCTCTGGGTGCCTGGTGGAGCGATACCAGCCAGTATATACAGACTATTTTTGTTGGTTGGCTTTAGGCAGCCTGATGATTCGACTGCTGTTGTTGAGTGTGGAGTCGAGATCTTTGGTATGAATTGAACATTCCCAAACCGGACAAGCATACTCATCACAGGAGTAGCAATGTGGGAGCTAGTTAGTAGCATATTATTTGATCAGCCCAGCTCGTGCTTCAGACAGGGTTTCTTCGACTTGGACAAAGTTGCCGGCTTGCTTGACAATAATAAGGCCAGGAGAAAGTGCGCGTGTTGGAATGTATAGGCTGATCATTTGTCTAGATGTTGAACAAGGTAGGAGCTAGGGCGCTACCCTGTAGTAAACCGTTCTGTTGTAGTCTCAATAGCTGCATTTTCCTCCTAGTTCAGTGTAGAAGTGACAATTTTTCATTAGGGTCTGGACCATGCAGACAAGTTGATGGTCTTTCATCATGTTGTAGATTTTCCAAAAAAGTCTATCTAAGTTCATAGTTTCGTATGCTTCTGAGAGGTCGACGAATATGAGACCAGTTACAT